TTATTCTTTAAAATTCTATGTTGTTTGTCAAAAATCACTTGTGGAATTAAATATTGTTTCAAAAAAGTTCAGCATTTCAAACAAAATTTTAAATGTGTAATTTAGTACATGTAGGAGAATGGCGTTATAAGTTTTCAGAATTTGTGCACAACCCATTTGTTATTGAATTACAATTGACATGTCTGTGAAAACTTGAAATATTGTTCACCAGTAAGTATGTGGTATTTTGATTGTATAAAGAGAAATAAGACGTACTGTGAACACTCAGACCCGCAAAGGAGTCTGATTAAAAAAGTTAATTAAGTGGTCACATTTGTAGTCATGATTACACTATATGTAAGAAATAATCTGTGAAAGTATCATAAAATTTTATTCATTAGGATAGCAGAAGTTTCGTATTACAGATGCGTACTCTTCAATACCGGTATTACTGAAAGAATGATAGTGGCCATTTTTGCAATGGGAAACCGAAAATATTTGTCTGATCAGTAAAATAGGAAGTCACAATGGCACCGTGTAAAGTCAGTAGACACTAGACAGCGTTTATAACATGTATAATGGGTATTCGGAACGTAATTAAATAGCAAAGCCAAAATATATCGATATCTTCCAGTGTTTGATTTATTTATTTTCGACAAGCTTTTAGTGTTTGCAAGAGTACATAAAATTCTTACTTTTGATGTCTCGTATTTTGTTTTATGTGAAAGAATGAGTGCACTTAAGTACGTCATTTGGAACCTTTTCGGCTACCCATTTTAAGAGGCAGTCCACTGAAAATCAGGCAATGGGTGGCACATCGCATGTCATGGTTTTTTATTATTTTTTGCATATAGACTTATTAAAGCAAGTGTTTACACTTGACAACATCAAAAAAATTTTTAGTGCTCCACTAGTCCTATTTTTGGTAAATGTTCATTTTTAAGTGCAGAAAGGTCAACATGTGGGTAAAAAAAATACTACGTTTTTATTTTGTTTTATATGTTCCAGATACGCAAAACCTGGATGTGTCTATCAATATTATTTATACCATCTAGACTCTTATCTTTAATTCTAGTAATGAATAAGACTCCAATTTACATTTCTTTAGAAAAAAATATGTGGTCCAAAATTGAGTTTAGCAAGTAACTTTTTGAATTCATTATCCAATTTTCATTACGTTATAAAACCCAATACATTTCAATGACAGATTTTTTTTCTCATGTTATTATGAATACAAAGTACAAACTTTTGAGTCACTCAATAAAATCAGTGGGCACCCTTATATTGAGAGAAATAAAAGGGGTCAAATTTACCAATGTTTTACAATTTTTCACAATTAAACCGATCCCGACCGGAATTATATAAAGAAGGAAATACTATAATTGTAATGTTAAATTTGGCTCTTTTGTTGTAATATGGTCAAAAAAATTACTTGATTTATTTTTGTACATGTCTTATGGGTGGCAGTTGTCTTTAGTTTTATAACTTTACACATTTTGCATTATTTTCAATCGGGATCGGTTTTATTTCAATCGGGATCGGTTTTTACCGTAAAACTAGAAATATTCTGCATTTAATGTATCAGAAAAAAATATGCTTGTCTTTTATTTCTTTTCAGTTAGTCAACTGTTTTAAAATTATTTTATACATGGATTCAAACTTTTATACAATTTATTTAAAATACTAATGTCTTTTACGTACATGAAGATTACAATCATGTATAACATCTGTTCGATTTCTTGATACTCGGTATTAAAAAAAAACATTTGTACATGCATTATGAACAACCGAGAGTAAACAGCTTATCTTTATTAAATATCTTATTTCCAACTATAGTTTTTTTTAATTCTCTCGTGAATTAAAGAGTTCAATTCTATCATTGGCGAAAATATATGCACGTACCTAAATGCAAAAAAATATTGAAATGTGCACAGTCTCGGCTTTATCAAAATTTTTAAAACCTGTCATCTATAAAAACCGTTCCCCTGTATTTTCATCTTATGAAATTTAATTTTATATTAATAAGAAAATATATAGTATCATTATTTAAGAGCCTAGAAATCGCAGGAAAAAAGCCGGGACGGGGGGGGGGGCAAGGCGGCATATTAAAAAAAACTTTCATTAATGGGAAAACATATTAGAATTGGCCAACATGGTCACATTTTTTAACTTCATATTGAATGTGAGTATGTGATTGTTTCAATCACCAAATTTAACCAAAAAAAAAGTGAAGTGGGGAGTTCAACAGTAATTTTCCTCCATAAATATTTTTTAAATCTTATTTTTCACTTTTTTAATGAAATATTTTTAATCGTACCGCGGATCGTTTACTTTGGTTTGACTGCATAGATAAATATAATCAAGTGGTTTTTCTTTGTGTGAAATAATGAAATAAACATCTCAACTCAGTTGACTTGAATTAAATGTTGCGTAAATCTAAAATATTCATCTTTCCTTGATAATCAGAAGAAAATAAAATCTCTTCACATCCCAATTTTATAAGAAATATTCAATATAAACAATTAATCATTTGTACGCATAGTCTAGTAAATAAGTTTAGTTCTCGGACATGTACAAAATTACTTTTCAAAAGGGACTTCTAGCTGAGACGTCGCCCGTGAAATAAATACATTTTATATAAAAATATATGATTATTTAACATGTAGGATAATGCACTCTGAAAAGTAATTGAACAGAAAAAGAGAATTTATTTATTTTTAATCGTTTTATTTGCGCTTTTATGCAAAGAATTTACAAACTTCTTTGGAAAACTTGTAACTATTTAATTGTGACGCAATATAAGTCAGGTATGACGTCACTGATACATCAAAGGAAACGTGGATTCAACCTGAATAATACTGCCAATCTTAATCTAAATATTACGTTTGGAGGCGAAAATGAATTCTATTTTGAAAATGAAGTAGTAAGTTTTTGTTAAATAATTTTATTTTGTGTATATATTCTAAATATTTCACCAGGATTTCGATAGTAAGATGTTTAGCAGATTTACCGATGCCACGGGAGATAACTCTTACATCGCAAAATTTCATAAAAACGTCGATATATTTTGACAGAAAACTACTATCAAAAGTGTTTTGCCCACCAATTTTATTTTTGAAACTGAAAGACGAAATATTTCTAGATTTAGTTAAGCATGAATTATAGTCCTGTTAAATAAGTATTGGAAATTACAGTTCGTTGTTTCTGACCTAAATTCAATGGTTTATATAGGGGAATTCAAGAACACGAAACAAAAGGATATTTTACTAATTATGTAATTTTAAAACAAATCTTCGATTACATTATTCCATTTGGACTACATTGATATTGTTTTCAATAAAATTTCAAATATTCGTCACATTCGATGTGCCGCCTATTAATACAACCCTGCCTGGTTTTTCGGCGGACTGCCTCTTAAGCTTTACATTACAATATATCGCTTAATTAATCTATGATTAATGTGCAAGCATATGCTTTTGATATTTATTTCTAGAATTTTTTGTCATACACATTTCTATAATTATAGAAAATATAATTGAAAAGAACATGTAAAAGCCTTAAATTCCGGAAATTTGAACGGGACCACTTTCGAATCTAAGGTATCCGCAAATAGGCGGAGACATTTAAGAAACCGCATGGTTGTGGAATGTAAACATTAGCACATATGATTTTTTCGCATTTCGAATTGAAATGGAGAAGAGAGAGAGAGATCGTGTTGATTTGTTGATTTCATGGTGCACAATTATTAAATGATTCTAATGTTAAGGGATGGGGTAAATGTCTCGCTGTGCAGACCATAATACAGAGGCGACATAAGCCTAAACATGTACTTACTAATGACACTGTCAATACCAGAATTCTTTCAAAACACCCCTTATGAAAAGCATAAAGATAAATAAGAGACAGATTATCCTCAATCCCTATTAAAATTTGCGCAAAAATCTCCCATAGTTTGAAGTTGGAAGTACGATAGATAATGTCACAACAGAGACTTAAACACAATGAAATTTTCAATGAAAGCGTTATCGTATCGAACAGCAGAAGGTCACGTGAGAAAGGTGATTATAATATCAATCGTTGTTGCTCAGTGACCGGTTAATTTAGTAGCTATCTCGACCCTAGTTTGGGGACATTTTTTTTTTTAAATTAGATATGAGCCGCAACTTGGCCAACATTGTCCTTTGGATATGTATAAGTTTAAGTTAAAATACATATTCTGTGCAAATAAGAAAAATGGCCAAGTTGCGGCTCGATGTAAACAAAGTCGTTGAAAACTGGTATGCATATGAATAACAATAGAAATGAGACATAACTGTTAGAACCCCGTCTCAAAAGCTAGTGTCGTTCGGCATTATCTAATACTTTCATGTAATATAATATACCAAAACCTACTCTTATGACATTGTTTAATACCTATAAAACATAAATTTAATGGATTTTGGAATTTTATTTTGCGCAAAACATCGGGTTCCAACTCTCATAGCTTAAGTGCACTCATTCTTTAACGTCTTCACGTCCACGCGCATCTCCATCATTAAGATTTTTTGCATTGTAAAAGTATATCGACTGTTTCAATTAAAATGCAATCTGCATTGTATTTATACAAGCAACAAAAGGTAATGTTTTTAGGCTGCAACAAGTTGGTACTGCAATACTGGATATATTTACAGATTCTAGGCTGGAGGAAATTGGTTTATTATGCAGCGGGTTTTAATGTAATTTTAGTGTTTCTCGACAATTCAAGTTTGATCAACTCATTTCTATGAAGATATAATAATTATGCATTTACTTGTTTTAAAAACTCTAAGAAATTTAAATTTTAAACCACCATGTGGTCATTTGAATCATTGTTATTTATTGCGATATTACATATTTATTTCACGTTAAAATTAGATTCTTATTGAAGTCTTACATGTAATTGTGCAAATTTATTTTAACCATCTACATTGTCTTGTTATGTTTTTATTCAGAATTTTTTATTCTATTAATTTCATAATTTTTTATTTCTAATTTTTTTACAGAAGCTGAGGGACTAAACTTTGAAAACGATGTCAAAGAGTCGTAAACACCAAAATAAACTGGTGAATATTGCGTTTTATTTTGTTTTCATTTACATTGATTTCATGTGCATCTATATTGTAGTAAAATATGTATTTATGCATTAACTTAGTAGCCTAAAAATATATATATCATCTCCAAACATCGTCCATAAATATTTAGACTTTGCATTTAAAATGAAACGAATGTTTTCAAAAAAATGATATTTTGTCCCCGCTGAAAGTGGGGGATATTAGTTTTGGTACATCTGATCGTCAGTGTAGCTGTCCGTCTGACTGCAATTGCAATGAAAGTTTATACAACAACTGCTTATGACCTAAAGAGGAAATTTTGTTTCATACTTCTTATATAACTAATTTATTATGGCCTTGCTATTTTAAAATGGTCCTGCATGTAACACTAATGTCTTGACTTAATCAAAAGATATCGCCTTACAAATATCATCCTGTGTAGTGTTTGTATGAAGATTCTTCATGTTTACAGGTTCACAATTGAGTCTATGTATATCAGCCTACCAAATCTCCATTTTCAAATGCATATTCTATACGATACTCTGATATTTTCACATACTACTTCTAATCCTTTAACACCTTTCAAGAATTCAACATAAACTTTACTCCTGATTGAACCTAATTTCGGTTCTAATTGTGTCCCTTCAGCATTTTAAGGAACCACCAGCAAGAAGTTTTGTCCGCAGGTCAAGTCAACCATTACCAGTTACAGCAGGAAATGAAAACACCATTTCTTCGCAAACGAGAACGTGAGTAACAAATCTGTATTCAAAACGTTTTTTATCTTTCGTGTATCATCCTTTGACTTCATTTAATTTTTTTCACGTTTTCACAATGAAATTTAGTGCACAATATAATAAATTCTAATGTTTGAAATACAATGAAACAAATAAAATAATGTTTGAAATATTCATTACATGAATTTGAATTTTTTATAATTGATCAATTTCTTTCCTTTTAATAATTTTTTATCAATAGCGTACCCAGCAATTACCATTAACTCCATAATTCAAGTATTTTTCCTTTGAATTAATGCTTTTTGACATATAATTTCAACGAAATTGAGAAGGAAACAAAGGATTATACTAGTATTTAGGAATGACCAAAATTTCCTCCCTCCCAAAATCCAACTTTGACGGAGAAATATATTATTACATGTACAGTGTATGTTTGAAAACAGGGGAATATTTGCAGACTTCAAAAACTGAATATTGTCATAGCCATGACATCATATATTCGATATGACGTCAGGAAAATGACGCTGATTTTAATTTTCCTTGATTTCATGAGAAAAAAATGCATAAATTAAGTAAGTAATTTATTTATTTATAGTGACATGTGTACATAATTGAATTCGTTTGTATACAGACTGTATAAAACAACAATCAACACCCAGCCCATCGGGATTATATGCCACTTTAAACACGAAATTGAAATGCAGTATATTACGTCGATATACCGAGTATAATTGATCAAGCACAAGTCTGTTCCACCTCTGTCAATAATTTAATATAATGTGTAGAATAATAGTATCAATGAGATTTTTAAATATTGTTCTAGAGCAGGTCAGCGCTCTGTGATTTTATTTGAAAAATCAAGCAAATGTAGCCCATCTTTTTCCCCCTTTCTGAAAAATAAAGCAAAACCCGAACAGTTTTTAACGACAAAAACTTAATTTACAAAAATTTTCAATTTACCTTTTGTGAAACTGGAATATGTTATATTAATTCGGATTTCTCATGCAATATTTACAATTCAGTTCATCCTTTGGGGATCCGGGTTAGGGCAGTCCTTCGGATGAGACCGTATAAACCGAGGCCCCGTGTTACAGCAGGTGTGGCAAAATAAAGATACCTCAATGCTCAAAGACCGTAAGTGCCGAGAATAGGCCTAAATTTGCAGCCCTTCACCGGCAATGGTGACGTCTCCATATCAATGAAATATTCTGGAGAGGGATGTTAAACAATTAATCAATTCAATTCGATTAAAAAAAATTAAAAAAGGCTTTTGTTGGGGGAAAAAATATGCAACATAGACAATAATCTATTGGATTTTTTTTTGTCTTTTTATTCACCTAGATCGATAGATCTGGTGCGTATATTGCTTTTGTCATGTGTGTATGTCTAAAAATGTTTTTAAGCTTTTACCATAATTTTTGAACTATGTGAGATAGAAAATTCATATTTGCTATGCGTATCCCAATAAACAAATTCCCTCAAATGACACCAAAGTCAACTACAATGTGCCCTTTTTCTGACCTATAAGGAAAACAACTTTTCTCGAAATTTGATGCCGTCAAGTGCATAATGTTTCACAAACACATCTTGTTTTAAAATGTTTTTAGTAAATGGAATCATTTGATCGGTTCTAAGTTTCTAGCAATACTGCAAACAACGTTTTTTTTTTTGTTTTAATATAAGAAACCTTTGCTTGTGTGTGTGTCTGTCAGATGTCTAATAGGCTTTTGCTGACTTATTTTTTATTATTGGGTCTATCGTTTCTAATCCAATACATAAAGTGAGTATGCTGTTTCTTTTTATGTTAAGGTCTCAAACTTCAGTGGAGGAAACTTTCATTAAGGTCTTCCGTTTCCAACGAAAGACCTTTCTGTTATTCTTAGGTTTCTTTTCCACAATTTTTTTTTCTTTTTTTTCTTACCAATTTTGTGCACGCGAGTTCTCGGAAACGGCTAGCTCGATTTTCATGAAACTTTCAGGTCTGATGTAACATGAAAATATCTAGACATATATTTTTTTTATTTGATGACGTCACATGACGTCACGGTTCCGAGATTTTTGCATTATAGTGAATTTTAGAGGGTTATTTTAACCGCGAGTTTTCTCGAAAACGGCTTAAGATAGAATCTTGAGATTTTCAGCTATAATAGAGCAATATATGTAGTTGTGCAGAACGTATTTCATATTCACCGAAATTGCTGTGTATTGAAGCTCTTTATGGACCGAAAACAGTTGCATCGCGAATTTCAAATTTTCTAACATCTTTTCTACGATATCTTTTTACCTGGAAATATTTTGTAAAAACTTATAGAACAAAGGAAGTGTAGAATTTTAAAATCTTTTAAATGACATCTTCTAAAAGGTCTGGCCCTAAAATTGAGGGCCTAGAGGGGGCGAAAGTTTTTTGTTTATATCTCAAAACGTATCGAGAATTTGTAATACGACAAAGAAGCAAAGTTGTTCAAAATTTCAAGCTTAATCTATTGGAGTCATCAAAATAAATCCGGTATCTTCACTTCCGGCCAAACCAGAAGTAGTCGGAAAACACTTATGTTGGTCGTTCTTGACAAGATTTTGGGTAACATATATCTCTTGGAGTATTAGAATTAATTTTCCGTCTGTTGTCGTCACATCCGGTCAAACCGGTAGCAGCATAAAATGGCTTATTTTTGTTTTAATTAACAAAGCTTTAGAGGATTCAAACCATTTTCGGGCGTTATTTCTCATTCTCATTTTTGTTAAAAATGAAAGCTACTTCTGGTTAATCAGGACGGAATACCTACTCGTTGCTTTGCAACGAGCTTTGCTCTTGTTATCTTTATGTTTCTTTTCTTAACTTTTTTTTTGGTATTTAGCATTTTTACAATTTGCATTTTCAGAAGCATATCATCGAACTTTTCGGTCTTATACGGAATAGATTTTCGCTATTCTTAGTTTTACTTTTTTACCATTTTTGTTTTTAACCGATATTATGCATGCAATAACTCGAAAATGACTCGTCTGATCATTACGAAACTTTCATGTCTGAAAGAACATTAAAATTCTAATTATGTACTTTTGTGCTTTTATAAGATCACTTAGGGTTTGGAGATTTCAGCTTGTTACTGATATATAGGAGGTAGATTTGTCTGGTAGATTTAAAAAAAAATACGGAACGTAGAAGTATTAAATCTTCATTGATGATAGATGGAGAGGGAAATTTTGTATATCATAAGCATCGGAACTACGGATCGCCTATACGCGGTGTGGCCAAAAATATTTATATCGAGAATTTTTAATTTTTTAATGGCTTATAATATCTTTAAACCTTTTTTTAAAATTATATACAATAAAAGAAGTGTAGAAATACAAGAGTTTTCAAATGATATTTCGCAAAAAAGACTGGTTCTTAAAATAAGGGATCTAGTGGTTTTAATTTATACTTTTCCTAGAAGACTTCCAAAACATATTTCGGGACGAGTGCCGTCGCTTTTGACCTCTTCCGGTTATACAAAAGGAAACTTAAATTTATTTGATTTTGCGGATATTACCTGCAAATTAAATGGTTTATACTTCCAGCCAGATCAACCCGACCTCCAAGTATTCTAAGAAAGCAGTCCCTGCAACTACACTGGAACTTCCATGAGACTGCTCTGAGTCTGCGCTAGAAAGCAGACTCAGCAGTCTTTGGGACTGCTTTCTGGTTCTGGTTCTGCTATGATTATTCATGGGTGAAAAAGATTCCAAGTGATACGATATCGCTTTTTTTGTTGTGAATTTACAGAATCCCTGTTGTAATTTTTTAGTTTCTATACCTTCTTTTGAACGAATTCATTCTTTTAATTAACCAATCTGACAATTAGATCTTAAGAGAAAAGGACCCAATTTTTCCTGATTTTTGGCACATTATATTAGCTCTCAAGAAAACCCTGATCTATTTTTTTGAAAGGGTCATGTCTATTACATATAAAACTAGACAAAAAACTAGAAATATATATTTAAACTGGACCTTTATAACATATTTTTGCGAATGAGTAAATTTGGATTGATTTCTCGTGCCATATTATTTATTGTTATTTTGTACTCAGGTTATCCTATTACTTTCCTGAAATACAGATCAAGAACGCAATCTATAAAAGTTTAAAGAAGCCTTAATATTATTCTGAGATAAATCTATTAATTTAGCATAAAGCTGTAATATCTGGATGCTTAATATCCAACTTTTATTAAGCTATACCATGCAGAAACCTGAAATTTAGAATATGAATTTATGGTATCTAAAGATATCTTTGATGTTGATCTCAGCGTTATCTGTGTCTATTCTTTAAGGGGGTCGACTGTAGTTTCCATTGCGCAATATTTCTCGTATCATAGTAAGATTAAGCGAATTTACTGTTTTAAATAGAGATGTCAACGAGTACCCGGTTAACCGGATTCTCGATCGAACGTCCGAGTATTGAATACTAAACTCAGTATTCGGTTACTCGGAGGTATATGTTAAAATATTTCGAAGCTTATTTATTAGCGCATTAAAACAACGGTTTTAAACCCTAAAATATTCATTGCGCTTGTACATACAGTAATTAGGGTTTCCTGTGCCTCCTAATGACTGTTATCGCTTTTGGCAGTGTTTATACAGTAATTACCGTGACCAAGCACCTGCTACCTACCTGGCTTTTCTCACCTTCGGCTGTCGTCTACCATTATATTTAGTTTTCTCTAATTATTTGTTTTCATTAAACATCGTTTAAGGTCTATTATATTTAAATAAATTACATATTTTTTTCAATTCTCCAGAAGTCGTTAATTCTCATGGAAAGAGACAGTCGATATTGCATGTGCGATTGTTGATATGGATGCGTTTGATTACGCGCAAATTAATGCAAATGGTTGAATATAAATAAAAGGCTTTTAAAATCATATGTCCATCGTTGCACCAATCTACAACATGTCTCGTAATTTTATGAAATATAGAATCGAAAAGTGTACAAAATCGTAAATTTGCTCTGTTAAAGGAGAACTTGATCAAGTTGATACTGTACATGTAGCTCTGACGACTTATCATTCGGACGTAAAACGCATCCAAGAGTTACATTACAATTAGGGAACAAATCATTCTAAACAAACCCACTGTGAACCATTTATGATTTTATTTCTCGTATTTATCTGATAAATTTAACTTTAATAAAAAAATTTAGATTAAATTTCGTCGGAAACAACGTGGTCATACATGTAATTGTTACATTCACAGATAAACCTCCCATCAGACCATTTGATTTTATTTCTACAAAAGTTTACAATGTTTTACAGTTATCAATTAACTTTTTCATATTTAATAAGACTTTTACCGAGAAGCCGGGTATTCGATCGGAAAAAGGTCCGAGTAACCTAGTATAAAAAATTGACCCTTGTTTTAAAGCAACTTTTTTTCACTAAATTAAAAAAAACTAAACAAAATTCAGAAATTACGGGTCGAAAAATGTTATTAAGATTTTAAGCAACTGATTTTCAAAAGGATTTTTTTAAAGTGACTGGTAAATGGCGTCGTAATAGAGTGTTTTTGATGTAGGCGCTCTCAAAGATGGGGTAATAAAAATGTTATAAAAGAAAAAGGTAAAAAAAATATGCTCATAAATTTTAAAACATAGGAATTTGATAATTTCTCCGTCATATTTATAATTTTTTGAATATATCCTTTGTATGGGTCATATTTAATAGTACTCTATATAAAAAAAGGAAATTTGGGGGTTTTTTTGTTGCATTTTTGCGATATTCCCTCTGGTAACTGGGCGGTTAAATTTTATGTTTCTTACATATAATGTACAATATAGTATTATCAATCATAAATTATAGATTGAGCAAAAGGTCTATCGTAGTATTTGTATAATTTGTTTAAAGTGCGAATAATTGGCACTTTCCCATATAATCATATAGTATATGTACCTGTATTTTGAGACGGTTCCTTAACAATATCCGGGCGGTAGATTTCCCCAATCTTTGCGTGTACACTGAAGTTAATGTAAGTTATATATGGTATAAAATTGAATAGTTTAGCTATTATAGTTTTCACACAATAAGATCACAGTAGGCCCGCTTAAATACAAATTATTTCTATATTTAATAATGCATAGCTTCAAGGTATTTAGGGAAAGAATAAAGCATTACATTTTGTATAATTCAGGGAAGAACTTCATCGTCCACAAAGAAATGACATGGTCAGAGAAAGAAAAACATCTAATAGAACAGACGTACTCTCACATAGGGCAGGAAGACAACAAACTCGACCAGGTACATGCCACAGCTTACAGCTCTTATTTTTCCTTCAGATATAAGTGAATCACCTGATTTAAAACGATAAACCAATCTTTATTACTTTATATTACCGAAAAATATGAGGAAAACAAATTAAATATATAAATCATGAAGTCCACAAATAGAAAAAGATAAACGTACATTTTCTTTACAAATAATCTTAATATCTAAGTTATAAAGCTTATGTTAAGCATTAAAAATAAAAAAAGCAACATATTTTCATCAACCTTGTACTAGTAACATACTTGATATTTAAATGCACACGTGAAGTCGTTAAGAATCAATCTTGAAAAGGTCATTTTAAAATGGAACAAAGGATATAATATCCATAAAGCAACCCTAAAATTTGGTTCAAAAGATCTGAAAATATTTTCAGGAAGGGAAGTTGGAACACTGGTGATTTAAAAGTGTTTAGAAATGATTAAAACTTTTTTTTAAAGTAAGCAGTATGGATAATGTGATATTTAGTTTAAATGTCAATTTATTGCCGCTGACGAAAACTTGTCATAAAAATGCAGGATAAATTTAATTAACATTCAACATAATTGTGTAGAAATGAAACTTGTTTATGTTAACATATGCTGACATGCAAATTTCAAATCTGTTCAAAAATCTAATTTTAATGTTGATAGATTTACCTTTAACTTTATTTCTATATTTCATTAAGCAATATGCAATTATTAAAGGATTTTGTTGAAATGCCAATTATTATAACTAGTTTGTTAACGTGCTAGATAATGATAGAATATGCACTTATTTTCTGTCAAAAATGATGATAATTATATTAACATTCGAGTTAATTTTGACACAATGCAAAGTTGCAACTTTTTATCTTGCTTGACAACATAAATACCTAAGATGTTAAAATATAAATCACATGTTGATAAAAACCTACAAAGTGACGCTGTATGTCGACATAAATAAGCTGCATGTTGATATATATTTCTGCATGCTGATAAATTATTTTCAATGTTAACAAATAATTTGCATGTTAACATAATTATGTTGTATCTTTTATGCATGACGTCATTAGATGAATTTACTTGTACCAGTACATGTATAGATACTGAAACGCAAAAGCAGTAATCTACAAATGTTTAAATTTTTTATTCAATGATTTTCAAAAAGGTATACAGTAATACTAAAATCACTTTTAATAGCATTTGAGATTTGATGAAAATGTTAAATGATTATTTTTAACTTAGAAAGAAAAATATGTCTGTTGAAACACCCCCTAACAGACATAATATTAAAACCCAGAAGACTGCCCTACATAACAATTGTAGTTCATTTTCTACGATACAATAGATTCAATAATATCGAGATCTTAGCAAAGGAATTATTATTTACCAATTTTTAAATGCCTCTTTTCAGATGATTAGATAGAATTCTCTATAATCTAGCGCCGTGTAGTAAACCCTGGACTTTCAGTCCAAGAATAATCATTATTGCATATGATATGTCAGAGTGAGCTGCTGAGGCGTGATAAAGTAAAAGTTTGCATCAGCATCTCTCCATCACCTTTTTGATATTTTTCAACTAGGGCAATGGAAATGCGTACTTTACTCATTTTCAGGGAGCCTTAGCATCGCTAGGGGAACGGAACATTTTTTAAAATAATGCTGTATTACTTACGATGAACAGTTACAAACCCTTAAAATCAGTATTATTTCCAAATGTTTTGTTGAACATGCAACTTTTTTTTTATTTCTGTTGAGCAGAATCAAACTTGACTTCCAGTAATGGTATGAAAATCATTCAACCGTTAAATAAACGATTTTTCTAAATTGAAGATATAAATACTTGTAAGATACAAAATTGTTTATTATGTGTAATTATTTTCCCCCTAAATAGTATGTAGCGTTTCTTTTGCGTTTCAGTATAAATTTTAATTTTAAGGAAAATTTTTAATACATAAACAAAAGGAATAAAAAGTATCAGCTCAGCAGTATTAGATTATTTCTTCTTTTTGCTGCAGTTATTGTAAAAATCAAAGAATAAATTTTCGATGTGAATCTGCTTGTACAATTTTTTGTTGGCTAGCTTTCATTCCATTATTATGCACTATTAGCCTCTCTGACTGTCGTTACTCTGGGAAATGAGTGCGAAGCTAATGTCGACGATGGCTGGTAAAATTGCGCTAGTTGTTTTCATATTGAATTTTCACGGAGGCGATCTGGGATTAATCACGACTTTGAATTTTTTTCCCTTTTTAATCTTAATTTAGGTTTTCATCTATATAAATCATGTTTGGTAGTCTTTTTCTGTGAGAATTCTGAGTCGTTTCATTCAAAAAAAAATTCTAAGTACACTAGAATTTTTTTTAACCCCGTGACCTTGACGTTGTTGTTTGACCTACGTTTACATTAATGTGAATTTTTCCTAATTACTTTTGATTGAGAAGAGTTAGGGCTTTCATATATATGACATGTGCATTATCCGTGACAAGGTAATTCCGCAATGATTTCTGACACCGTGACCTTGACCTTCACGATTGACATAATTCAAAAAAATATATGAGTCATTTTCAAAATTTGTCCAAATTCCAACACCAGTATTTTGCAAAAATAAATGTGGCGATCTAAACTTTTTAAAGTTTAATTTTAGCATTCAAACATCATAGATGCATAAACAATGTTAAAGCACAAAGAATTCTATTAACATATACTAAGAAAAACATCATATGTACATGGACCCAACAATAAATGTCCATGGTGTTACTTAGTTAAAAGTCATAGTAAAATCATAATTAAAAAAAAAATTTAAGGTTTTTAGAATAACAATCTCAACATAATGATAAAATTATTCTATAGAATCAAACTGAAGTTTCATAACAGAAAATTATCAGATAAAGTATAGCTGGAAGTTGTAAGTGTTGTAACTTTTGTATATATCTTACACGTTTACTTAAGGCATACATCATTTACCTCAGCACAAAATACTTGCTTTGCAAATAAACTTAGTATTAGAAAACGACAGTATTGTGTTGCAAGTTTCGATAAAATTGTATAAAGATTTAGAACATAAATATAGGAAAACTGTGTTGGTAACACCAAGGATATTTGCATAACACAAAGGACATAAAGGTTACACTAAGGATATTTTGTGTAATACTTAGAAAGAAATAATAAAGTTGTTCTCCTTCCTTCCGAAAAGGATAGTAATGAAATTACCCTAGAGGTGAATATAAGAGTATATGGCTTTAACATAAAAAATTGGCGGGGGATTTCTTTCATTATACATTTTGAGTCTGACTAGTAACACCAAGGATAAAACAGTAACGACATAGACATAACTATCCAATCATAAGATATATGACAGTAGAAAAATGAAATCAAATTGTTATGCCCGAATAATAAATAATTACTATCACATGACTTTGAATCATTGATCAGTACTTGTTAGTGTATTTACATATCCAAGCAGAAGGTGTAACACCAATGACAAAAAATAACACAAAGGACACCTTTAAAAGATTCAAAGGTTTACATAGATGAGTCTTAGATCAGCTAGAACTAATTTTTAATGAAGAAATAATTGTGAAACTAGAACATGTACATGTATTTGTAATTGACCAGATTTCAAATATATAGAATGCATTAATCTTTTTATGGATTTTACATTTTCATGTCATTTATCTACAGTTAGCCTCTTTCCACAATGAGCTCTCTACATAATACACATCTACAAGATATGATGGTGACAATATTATTAAAACATTAGCAATGCTATACCAGCTTTTATCTTTTAAAGTTTTTGGCCTGTTAAAAAGGAACATGGGTTTAGGTTCTGTCTAATCCCGTGCATACATTTAAGTTCATTTTTTCTGTATCTTTATCCATGCAGTCTCTCTTCCAAAGGATCTGATTTCTCTTCATCTGTAGTCTGATGTTCATTATTGACTCCAATTCTTTCTCTTCCAGGGTGTCAGTCTTTTCAGTTTCTTTAGTCGGATTTCCTATCAGGAACTCTTGACTTTTTTTTAATCTGTACTCTTTTTCATTTTTTTCATTGATATTTTTCTGCCCTTTTTGCTCTTGTATCCACTGATCGTTTGCTAAACTTTCATTGACAGTTCTTCAGGGTAAAAATCCAACAAAGTGGCTTGAAATGTATGGTCTCCCACCATATCTGGCCTTGTTGTTGTCCAATGCTGCCTCGACTATATAATCTTCACCACCACTTTCCAAAAGCTTAATATGTACATCCAAGGTTAAAAACTTCTTTCAGCACCAACTTTTACAGGATGTAGAACACAGTCATGAGGGATTTCAGTTGGACAAATCTGAAGAACATCCTCAACTTAATGCAAAACTGTATTCTAGGGTAATGAATGGTACATTGTCTCCTTAAAAAATCTTTTGAAATCCCTTTAGAACAGTTATGAACAATTTGTGACTTTTTCATCTAAGGGTTTACATGATTAAATGACTTTAAATGCATTTGCAAAGAAATGTTCCGTATCTGATATAACTTTAAAGGTATTTTCAATTCAATGATATAAATCTATCTTTTACGTCTTGGATTCTATTGGCTTCATTGCAACTTTTTAATGTGTCTTGTTTACATCATCCTCATCAAGAGAACATAACTAGAATCCTCAGACTAAAGAAAACAAATCATATTCTGCCTTATTTCACATTCCCTTGTGTTACCTAAAACTTCCTTTGTGTTACCATTTTTAACCATCATATATTTTTAGCACTTCATTATTTATTGTTACTTGAATTGCAATATCCCACCACAATTGTTTTCTGCAATACAATGAACACAATTACCACTCCATATGCAATACGCCTGATTCATTTTTCTATCTTTAATCCTTGCTGTGTCCCTTGAGTAACTGAATTTGTCTATGGTGTTACCATAGGTTACTTTAAAGAGCATAAAAGGGGATATGATTGCATTACATAATCAATCTTGATATTTCAATTTATTCAAAAGGAATAAAAGTTGGATATTTTCCTACAGAA